AATGTGAAACCTGTCAGATTAAAGTAGGTGTGGCCACGCGGGGCCCAGTGGCCCCTCAAGATGTGTGGGCGACCTGCCCCCTGTGGCCCGACTGCTCATGCGCCCACACGGTGCGTCTGGTCGGTGTGGGACGCACACATTTCCTCCAGGATCACTGCTCTGGGCCGGTCCACGCAGGTGGCACCAGGACGCAGGGGCAGGCCGCGTACACCCCGTGGGGGCCGCGTGGGGCGTGAGAAAGAGGGAAGGGGATGGGCTGAGCCCCTTACCGGCGGCCAAATGAGGCCGAGGGACCCTCAGCATGGCCTTTCATTAATGTTTTGGTTCAGTTGCCACATAAACCGAGAGGCCTTTCTGTTGCCAAGTGTCCCCGCCCCGCAGAGCAGGCGGCTTCTCTGAGCCAGGTGGGGGTGGCCCAGGATAAAGTCGCGACTCTTCTTGGTGGCCCTGGCGGCACCGAGACAAGCTTGGTTGAGATTGGACTCAAGCTGTCCTGGGCAGGCCGGAGGGGCCCCGGGCGGCCTGGTCACGGCTGTCGGAATGGACAGTAACCTGCCAGGGCTGTGGCGGCTCCTGCGGTGGCTGGTGCTTTCACCTTTCTTCTCTGTATTGGTTCTGTTCTCTCTTCATTGATCGGTGTTCAGTAATTTAAAAATTATAATTTAAAACAAATAGATTGACAGGAAATTTCAAAAGAGTGTAAAATGTGAACTTCGTGTATTGGTTACACCTACAGTCAATAAAGATACACATTTTTCTGTGTCAGGTGTTAAAGGAAAGCAGAAATGCTTGGTTAATATCTTTTCCTAGAATACATACGATCTTATGGAAAAAAACTCTTGTTGATACGTAAATGTAGCACTTAAATTTCCATTTATTCTGAGAACATTTTTAGATTAAAATACAAATACGTTTCTCTTAAAAACAGTAGTTGTATAATTTTTAGTTACTGAAAAATCACATTAATATGTGTTGCTCACTTTACTGATTTCTGAAATTTCCTTAATAGCCATTATGGTGCTGAAATAGAATAAACTGATCTTAAAATGTTCCTGCTACAGGAAGATGAATTTTCTTTAGCTTTAAGTGCAGTATTTTTAAAAATCTCATTTTGGCTACAGTTTGGAATAAAGCGTTTAGGGAGGAAATGGGAGTAACCGTCTGTTAAGAGAATTTTGCTGAAAATTACTTTCAGCTTCAACGAGTAGAAGGAGTGATCCAGAGAGGGCCCCAGATTCTAACACTGGGCCTTTTAAAATCTTCACATATTTAGTTTTTTCAAAGTCTTTTAAGCTTGAACTAACTTTAGACTTAAAGAAGAATTACAAAAACAATAGGAAAAGTTCTCATAAACCTTTCCCCCTCGCCCCCTAACGTTGATATCTCACATGGCAAAACCAGGGAGTGGGTTTTGTCACCATTACCCAAACTGCGGCCAGCGTTTGGTGACGTGCTGCTCGGTGTCACATGTGGGGCACATCCCAAATGACCGTGGGCGATGCTGGCCGGACCCCGTGTTGTTTCTTTTATAAGCAGTCAGTGTCTTAGGGATCCTTCGAGACGGCACAGTGGCCTGTGCTCCTCAGACTTCAGCCACTAGTTTCCACGCCCGTTGTGGGGGCCGGCCAATAGCAGACCCTGCGGTGCTTCTCTCCACCTTTTTTTTTTTTTTTTAAGATTTTAT